TCTGGTTGCATGTTATTTTTTGTGAGAAGACTGAAGCAAAGTAGTCATTGAGTAGCTCTGCCTTCTTATCATCTTCCATTCCCAGCTCACCTTCTCCATGAGCAGTGGACCCACACCACCCCTGATCTTCCTTTTTTGTCTGACATATTTGAAGAACCCCTTCTTGTCATTAACGTTCCTTGCCAGCTGTAACTCATTCTTTGCCTGGTCTTTCCTGATTTTGTCCCTACACACTCATGCTATTCCCATGTATACTTCCTTGATGACATGCTCTGTTTCTTCTCTAAAAGTGCAAAAGGGACCATTGTGAGCACCTGGTTTGACCTCTTCCATAGCACCAGCCAGAAGAGAGTGGGCCGGGCTGGGAGGCCTCTGCATATACAGTCCAAAATCACCCCCCATGTTCGCCCCCCAAAAGCTGAAAAACATGAATGCTACTTGCTGCTGACTAGAACTGGTCTGTAATGATCTTAGGTTGGTTGTCTGACAACAATGATGAGTTATGGAAAATAATGGTTTGCCATGTTTAACAATCACGTACAGTGCTCAGATCTTGTAATTCATTTTCGGATATCAGGGCCTTGTAATATTCATTCTAGAGCCAGTGTGCCAATGTAGTGCCCGTCAGAGCTTCTTGCAGGACTGGGACCCCAGCCACATGTGAGGTTCCCAGGTGCGCATGGATTGGTCACCCTGCCATAAGCAAAACAGCACCCCAGGCTGTGGTATAAGTTATAATAATCATTGTTTTATTTTTTAAAAATTACAATAGAAAAGTACCTTTAAACATATTTCAAAAAAGCAGAGTAGACAACGTGGATGTTTCTTTCCTCTATTACCCAAAACAAATACAGAAAATCAGCTTTCTAAAGAACTAGTCTATTGGTTAGAATACTTATACACGTCTGTTTAGATTTATTTAAACATTTGTCTTCGAATTTAATTTGTTCTCAAGTTATCCTTGTCGCTTTGTTTAAACAAAAGTAGAATTTCTGTTGTTCTGTCTTATGCTTTCAGCTATCGTTGTGGTCTTGGGACTGAAGAATTCTCAACATCTGCATTTCCACAAAGAACAATTGTGTTGTCATCATAAAAACACTGACATCACTACGTGTTCAGCACAGTGTGAGCAAAACTACGGGGAAACCTGTGAGCACACGTTCACCACACTTGCCAACAATCAGGTCCTTCTTGAACCAATCAGTGCAGGCTGCGGCACAGCATTGCTTATGGGTGAGTGGGTGGAGAGAGAGTTGCCTTTAGGGGTAAGGAGTTGTCAATCCTTTTACAAGAAAACAGACTCATTTTTATATTCTATTCCTATGCAGAGTGAAAAGCAATAGGGGGAAAGGAATGTACTGGTAAAATGAGCTTCTCGTTGCTGGTACCGTATTCTCAGTAGACATTACCAATATTGCTTCAAGACAATGACTGGAGTAAAGAACAGGGTTTAGCAGAAAATGCCAACGCCTCCCTTTTTGGCTTCACTTTTGCATTGAAAATACCAGTATATTACGTAGCAAGGAGCTGGACTGGCATAAACTGTTCATTAAGGCCCTAATTCAACAAAGCACTTAAGTGTAGCTGTAAGCATGTGTTTAAGTCCCATTAACTTCAACTAGACTTAAGCGTGGTCTTGAGTGTGTTGCTGAATTGAGGTCAACTTTTTCTCATTGCAGCAGTTTACATTGCCAATAAAAATTTCAAGCCATTACCGGAACCAGCCCTTCCTGCCCCTGGAAAGATACCATGTGACCCAGCAAATGTAACTGTCCCTGAAGTAAGCACAAGGAGAGCCCTCATTAATAAGTCTCCACTTGCTCCATGCATGGCTTTTCCCTGCACAGCTCTCTGCTAGACTAAAGCCTCACCCTGCAAAATGTAACTGTAGCCCTAAGGTAGAAAAATTATACTAAGTTGTTTTCTGATTGTCCTGCGTGATAGGATATGGTACACTGGGGAATAAAACCCTAATACTGTAAATATACCCAGATCTGTAGTTCAGCACATTTTAACTCCGCCCAGGCTAAGCACAATGCCTATAAACCTAACAATACAATTATTTAATTCTGAACAAGATTTAAAAACATGTCTTGAATGCATGCAGCTTACCAAAAAAACAAAAAAAAAAGAGAGAATCTTAATTGCACGCATTCAAAAGTCAAGCACAAAACTTGTGATCTAACCCGGTGTAAGATCATTATACGCACAATGTTTGGTATAAAAATACTTGGCTCTCTTTTGGCTTTGATAGTTTGCTTTTTTGTTTGAAAATACTTTTCAAACTATACAGCAATGACTGTCCGACCGTGCTTTCACAAGTAACACTCTTCCTTACAATAATACAGTGTAAAAAAGGAAAACATCATTATTTTGTACGCTTTTCTCTTCTACGAGAGCAGATGTGTGATAGTGGCTGTGGCAAAGTCTTGAAGGAATCAAAACTTGTGTGAGGTTTTTCAAGCCTGCAACAATGGAGAGGAACATGTGTTAGAACGGCATTTGAGATCTTGGAATGGAGGAAATTAAAAGTAACTGGATTTGAAGGATGCTTTAGATGCATTCGCATGCAGTAGTATGTGTCTGGAGAGTTGTCATACACAACTAATGAATGAGTTTCTCTGGGCACCTGCAACAGGGAGAATTTATTTTTAAATAAGACATGGGTGTATGTACGTACAGCGGATAGAAGGCTGCTGGAGAGGGAAATTATTACCACATAATAGACATATAGATTTTAAGGCCAGAAGGGACCATCAGAACAATATAGTGGCCACATGGGGTCAGACCAATGGTCTACCTAGCCCAGTATCCTGTCTTCTGATAGTGGCCAGATGCTTCCGAGGGAATGAACAGAACAGGGCAATTACTGAGTGATCCATCCCCTGCCATCCAGAGCATGGGGTTGTGCCCCACACCATCTTATGGACCGATCCTCCATCAATTTATGTAATTCTTTTTTTAACCCAGTTATACTTTTGGCTTTCTCAACATCCCTTGGCAATGAGTTCCACAGGTTGGCTGTGCATTGTGTGAAGAAGTACTTCCTTTTGTTTGTTTTAAACTAGCTGTCTATTAAATTCTTTGGGTGGCCCCTGGTTCTTGTCCCTTTCCTAATGGTTCCTCACATTATGTTCGCTTTTTTGACCGCTGCTGCAAATTGAGCCGATATTTTCAGAGAACTATCCACAGTGACTCCAAGATCTCTTTCTTGAGTGGTAACAGCTAGTTTAGACCCCAGCATTCTGTATGTATAGTTGGGATTATACTTTCCAATGTGCATTACTTTGCAGTTATCCACATTGCATTTCATCTGCCATTTTGTTGCCCAGTCACCCAGTTTTGTGAGATGCTTTTGTAACTGTTCGCAGTCTACTTTGGACTTAAATATCTTGAGTTGTTTTATATCATCTGCAAATTTTGACACCGCATTGTTTACCCCCTTTTCCAGATCATTTATGAGTATGCTGAACAGCACAGGTCCCAGTACAGATTCTTTGGGGATCCCACTATTTACTCCTCTCCACAGTGAGAACTGACCATTTCTTCCTACCCTCTGTTTCCTGTCTTTTAACCAATTACTGATCCATGAGAGGACCTTCCCTCTTATCCCATGACTCCTTATTTTGCTTAAGAGCTTTTGGTGAGGGACCTTGGCAAAGGCTTTCTGAATGTCCAAGTTCAATATATCCACTGGATCCCCTTTGTCCACATGCTTGCTGATCCCCTCAAAGAATTCTAATACATTGGTGAGGCATGATTTCCCTTTACAAAAGCTGTATTGACTCTTCCCAACAAATCATGTTCATCTATGTGTTTGATAAGTCTGTTCTTTACTATAATTTCAATCACTTTGCCAGGTACTGAAGTTAGGCTTACCAGACTATTATTGCCAGGATCTTCTCTGGAGCCTTTTTTAAAAACTGGCGTTATATTAGCTTCCCTCCAGTCATCTGGTATAGAGTTTTCTATTTTTTTAGCCTCTCTAATCTCCCTGATCATTTCAGATTCCATCACCATCCTGGTCAGGTAGTTGGTAGTATATTCCTCCTGCTGTACCCTTATTATTCAAACAGGGAATTTGTATCCATAGAGATTCCTTGGTACAGTTTAATCCATTTAAGATATTTACTATATTTGACACTCTCTCTTTCTTTCCCATATAGTACAACTCCCCCACCATACACATCGCTGTGTATTTTGTACCCTGGTATTACCGTATCCCATTGATTATCCTCATTCCACCACGTTTCTGTGATGCCTAGTATAATAATATTCTCATTTAGTACCAGGCAGTCAAGTTCACCCATCTTAGTATATAGACTTCTAGCATGTATATACAAGCACTTATAAAATTTGTCACTATTTAGTTGTCATGTGATGTAATTGAATAGGATTCTTTTTCAAGTGACTGTTTCTCTTCAGCGGCTTCTGGGACTTTATCAACTGCTATCCTCTCTGCTTCACTAGGCTATAGAGAATCCCCGTTAATAGATCCTCCCCTAAGGGATCTTTCTTTCTGAACCTTGTGCTCCTCTCCACCTGTTGGCTTTCTCCCAGGCCCTAGTTTAAAAAGTCACGGACCACCTTTTTAATTTTGCATGCCAGCGGTCTGGTTCTATTTTGGGTTAGGTGGCGCCCATCCTTCCTGTACAGCTGCAAAGTGCTTTGCATGGCGGGCAGGTGACTGTCCAGCTCTGCACCCAGCATGTGGGCTAATGAATGTATTCTTCTCTATGTGCCCCTGCTACTGCATCTGTGTCATTTGCCACATAGACACAGGAGCATGGTGAAGTGCCAGTCCCAGGATTCACTGCGCTGGACACTGCATTCTCACTGCAGGTCTGAGACCATAATTCTCTCACGTGATGACTGTAAGCACCGCTGCGGCTTAGGGGTGAAGAAGCTGACCCCGCTCCTTTGCTGCCAGGAGGGTTTCATCCCCAAAGCAGTGTGTGGTTAGACGATTGCCTCTAACTTACCAGCACACTGTAGTTTTGCAGGAGGGCATGAGAAACCAGTAGCCACCTTCAAAGGCTCCATTAATACCCACAAGACTGATTGTAGCCACCATCACACACCTGATACCTGTGACAGAAAAAAGACAGGCACCGTCAGAAACTCCACAGGAACCGTGTATGTTTCTGAATTGACACGGGGGTCTAGAAATCCAAGAAGAGGAGCACCAAATAATAAAGAACTTGATGCCATTCATGGGACACTGACTGTGTCCAAGTTGTCAACAATGGAGGTGATCACATCCGTTTCAGAGGAGCCAAGGGGCTGGATGCACAGCCCCAGGAAAGGGTGAAGCCGCTGGAAGTGGCCTCATGCCTTCACGGGTGACCTGGGAGGCTGCTGTGATAGCAATGTCGGGAGTTTGGCCTCATATCCTGCTGAAGAGGTTTGTGGGGGACAGGCTGTGCGTGAAAGTAGCTAGAACTACCATTCTCTTTGTTGTTTGTGCAGCTACAGCTGAATAAATTTTACGCTTCATAAACGCACTGTTCAGTTCCTAACTCTCCACTGGACTTCCTTAACTGGTGGCTTAAACACAGCAAACGTCTGCACTGGGCTTGCCAATCCCAACACCCTGACCCCATGAGGAAATGATCACATACTAGATGTTCAACATACTAGACCAGTAACTAAGACGAGTCACTGGGCAGAACAAATCAAACCCAGCAGTGAGCCCAGCTGCCACAGATCCCTGCCCAGAACTGTCGCGGTCCCAGGACCTTGCCACAGTGACGTGCAAAGCTCAGGCAGCCGCTCCCCAGAAATAGGCAGTGACCACACAATTGAGGTGCAAATCAGGAGGCACCCGGCACAGTCTGAGCCAAGGAGGAGCAACAGTGACCCTGTGTGCCTGGGACACATCCCGCTGCCCTGTTCCCACTAGGAAGGAGTGCCGGAGAGACAAGTGGAACGCCCCAAGTCGCTGCTGCGGCAGTGCCGCAAGACGCATGAAAGAGACTGCACTAGGTGTGAAGAGCCCTGCCTCTCGACTGCGCAGTCCGAACATTTCCTGCCATTGCTCACTCTGAACCGTAAGTGTCGCCTCTGTACCTAGGGCATCTGCAGCCCTAATAAATACCCTCTCCCGTAGCCATGTGAGCGGTTAGTGCGATCCACCAGGGCTGGCGCCTACAAGGCCTAGCTGCCGAAGCACCTACAATCCTTGCCTCTGAGTCGCAGTACACCCAGCATGCTACTGGCACCGTAGGGGTTTGGTGGGCCTGGCCCTGAGCACCCCAATAATGACAGCATGATTGAGCCCTTAATGAATTAGACTGTCTGTGCTGCAGGGGGAACGTTTCCCCGCCTCTCAGACTTTCAGGGATTCCTACAGGGTCACACAGAAAGTCTGCAAAAGAGCTGGGAACAGAACCCCGTCCTTCGAGAACCTCGCAGGGGGAGCCCTTCTCCTGCCCGAGCACCGTCACCAGTCTGTTTTGGAGAGAAATGTGGGGGCCTCATTTCAAACGACAAGATGTGCTAATCCCCACGTGCAGCGAGGCGCAGGGGCTGGTCTTTCCTGGGCTAGGTTGTGTTGCTGCAGCAGCCAGAGAACCGCGGGGGAACTAATAATACACCATTCCCAAATATGGCATTGTGTACGTTTCCACTGGTGCTGTTGGAGCAATCCGTATTTTGGAAAAAAAAAAAAAAAACTGCTTCCCAAACGTTCAAAACAGATTCTTCATGCATCGCTTTCTAATACGCAGGCATGAAAATAGCCACTGGACATCGTGTCCTTTCCTAAAAAGACAGTACCAAGATGCGGAGGCTTAAATGCAACAGCCATAAATTAAGGTATCAGCTAAGAGCCGTGGTCCTTTTCCAAGTGTGGCTATTTCCAGCAATGCCGGGTTTGATCTGTTCTGGGGTCTCCAGCTAGCTGTGAGGGCCTGGGAAGAGTCAAGCTAACGATGTGGATGGGTGGAGTCGTGCGTGGGCTTGGTGGCTTGGAGTGGGGAGCGCTCCCTCAAACAGTACGCAACCCCCTTTCGCAGCACCTCCCCCGCCAGCTGTTCTGCAGTGTGTCCAGCTGGTGAGCTTTCATTGCTCACTGGTGGGAATTTTTCTTGTTGTCATCTTATAAGGTGGTGTTAATGGGGGTGGGAGGCTGGGGAGTGGGAATCTGACCCGGTCACTACTAGCGAGTGGACAGGCTCCTCCCCCTTTGCTCTTGTTTCTGTGGGGTGGGCTGGGAGGGTTTTTTGGAAGGGGTAGCTGGCCGATGGGGAGGGGTAGGCGGGTTTGGTTAAAAAGCACTTCGCAAGATGCGCCGTTGGGATTACAGCTGTCCGTCCGTCTGTCACCCCTATGGCTGGTTGGCTTGTAAGCGCTTCAGGGCACAGACTGCTTCTTGAGCAGGGCCCAGCACAGTGGGAGGGGCGCGATGCTGCGTTGTGGGCACGCTGGGGTTGAGTCAGGACGGAACTCATGAGTCAATTGTATTGTAACTGTCTTGGATTGCTCCATGCGTACCGTGCTGGGAGTGGAATGAAATCTACATTCTCTCTTTCCCCAGGGCCTGGGGAATTAGCACCCAGGAACGAAAGGCCACCCTGACATGGTACCGATGGCTCTGAATACTGAACTGGATGGGCATGAGCACTCTGAGTGGAGGTGGCTTGTTGCCCATCGTAACAGGGCTAGCAAAGGGAGAGGGCTGGGGAGAGCTGGCCCTGCCCTAGCGTGAAGCCCAGCAGAGAGATGCTGGGAAGCAGCTGACACAGCTAATCAGCACCTCATGATTGGCCCACACGCTCATCTGGCCAATATAAAGGGGGGAAATCAGGAGAGAGGAGCTGGTAACCACTGCAGGCAGACCAACCAAACCTGTGGAGCTCCCCTGCAGGGTCAGAGAGGGCCACAGTTGGTAGCTGTCAGAAGACCCCAGTCTGAACCCTCTAACCAGACTATTTGTGTTGCTTTTTGCACACTTGTCTGTCTTGTTTGTGAAGACAATAAACAGAGCCCCGAAGACAGGGACAGAAAATGAACCTGGGTGTGTCTGATTGTCTATTTCCAGCTGGTGACTAGAGCCACCAGGGTACACATAATGGAGAATGCGGGCATAGCTTTCCAGGGCCCAGGGAGAAGCCTGGGTCTTGCTGCTCTTGTGACATGGAAAGGAGAGCGGTGGCCGCAACAGTGCCTGACAGCTACAATTGCAGCAGTAGCAGCAGCAGCCGTCATTCCAGCAGAAGCATCAAGAGGATCATCAGCAATTCCTGCTCAAAATATTGGCTTGGGACCCCCACATTCTACAGGTTGGTGCAGGTTGCCAGCGTGGGAAGAGGCGCCCTCACTAAGATGGGACCAGAGGATGACCCAGAGTCCTTCCGAGAGACCTTTTGAGCAGGTGGCTGAGGCCTGCTAACCCCAGTGTTCAGTTGACCGCCACAAAGTACATGCAGTTTCTAAATTTGATGTGTAGCGTATGCTTAGGATTGATGAGATGCTAGATGAACTGGGGCAGGCCCAAAAACCTAACAACACTGGCCCTTACTAGGGGTTATTGGCAAAGCCCCTTCATAGAATCATAGAATATCAGGGTTGGAAGGGACCTCAGGAGATCATCTAGTCCAGCCCCCTGCTCAAAGCAGGACCAATCCCCAGACCAATTTTTACCCCAGTTCCCTAAATGGCCCCCTCAAGGATTGAGCTCACAACCCTGGGTTCACCAGGCCAATGCTCAACCCACTGGGCTATCCCTCCCCGCTTCACCCTAGAGCTCACTGCATGTGCCACACCTAATGGCCTCTACCAATTCCAAACCCTTCCGTTTGGTCTCCATGGGGGCCCAGTGACATTTCCAAGACTTATGGCTAAGCTCCTCCTACCTCGCTGGGTGTATGCTGCGGCCTACCTGGGTGATGTAGTGAGTTATGCAAGTAGCTGGGCACATCATCTCCAGCGGGTCAGAGCGGTGCTCTCGTCTGGGCCTCACTGCCAACCCCATGAAATGTTGGACTGGATGTGCAGAGACAAAATACCTGAGATACCCTGGGGAAATGGGAGAATCGAGCTGCTGATAGACAAGGTAGAGGCTCTTGTAGACCTGCCAGTCCCTGCCACTAAGCGACAAGTCGAATCTTTTCTGGGGCTAGCTGGATACTATTGGCAATTTATACCCTGGTTCTTCACAATCACAGTCACTTTAACGAACCTTCTGCACAACAAGGCCCCACGGAAGGTGCCCTGGGCTCCTGCATGTGCAGATGCATTTGGGGATATCAAGTGAATCGTTTGCAGCATACCAGTGCCACGTAGCCCGGACTTTACTAGGGACTTCATCCTGCAGACGGATCTCTGAATGGGGGGAGGGGCTATCCTTGAGGATGGGGAACACCCCATGCGACTTCTGAGGAGACAGTTCCTGCCCTGGGAACAAAACTAGGCAGTGATTTGAAACGGAGTGCCTGGTGATAAAGTGGACTATTGAGGCCCTGAGGTACTATTTGCTTGGCGCAAACTTCATCCTCGTCACTGACCCTGCTATGTGCGAGACAACCCCCCAGATGGACACAGTGGTACCTAGCCCTGCAACTGTATGTATTTACAGTTCACTACCGGCCCAGAGCCATACGCGTAAATGCAGACTTTTTTTCATGGGAAGGAGGCAGGTTGGTGGACAAAGAATGTATCGTGGGCACCACTCTTGGAGGTTGGGGGGGGAGGGAAGAGCATGTAATAGCGCACGCTGCCCCTTTAAGTCCTGGGGACTGGGGGAACAGGGAGCAGTTGACCCTGCCCCAGACAGAAGCCCAGCAGGCAGGTGCAGAGAATCAGCTAACGCATCTGATCAGCACGGCATGATTAGCTCATGCTCTCAGCTGGACAATATAAAGGGGGGAAACCAGGAGAGAGGAGATGGTAACCAGAGTAAGAGGCTGCGGGCAAGTGGACAGACCCGGGGCCCCCCCCCCCCCCCCCGTGAAGCCAGAGAGGGTCCTATCTGGTAGCTGCCAGAGGACTACAGTCTGAACCCCTTGCCCAACTGTTGTTTGTGTTGCTTTTTGCACACTTTCCTTTCTTGTTTGCAAAGACAATAAACAGAGCACCGAAGAAAGGGG